CGACATGTATTTGTTAATACTATACAAACACTTCTTACAAGAGCTGTCCGATATTCGTCAACATTCGAAAGATTTAATTATGAACGACGTTCTATCAAGTTAATGTTATTATGTAATGGGTAAGCATTAGTGTATATTTTTTATTTGAATGATGTTCATCTTTATTTGTCAATAATTTTTAGTTATCCTTCGTCTTTTATTGATCAACAATTTTATAACTTTTTCAATGAATTTATTTATGCAACATCAATTCTATCATTTATTGAAAATGAGCAACAATTTATTCTCTTACGTCACGAAATACTCGATCAACCAACACCTTCACAATCACAAGCAGCTTCAAGAGCAGCTACAGCTGATGTTGATAACGATCAAACTGATGTTACTGAAGAAACTACATCGCGAGAGTCTGTCGAAAAGATTCAGAAAAAGCCAATCAGTTATGCAGATCGATTATTCCTTCACTATACACATGAAAAACGATTTGAACCATTTAAAAGAAATATGCATCGGGTCTATCAGAACGTCTTCAAAAATACACCGGCTATGGACCTCAAATTAATTGTAGATAATCGTAATCGTCGTAAAGCAAAAAATGAACTTATACGAAAACGTCCAAAGCGATCACTACTACAATGCAAACAAATGCAAACAAATACAAAATAAATACAAGAAAATGTTAGGTAAATTATTATCTTAATAGATATTTATGTTTGAATATGTTTTACTTAGAGCGACGAAAAAACACGAAGAAACTCGTCACTACTAATGTTCAAACTATGACTTATAAGCAGAATTCACAAAAAAATTATCCACTGTTAAAAAAAATTTGGAATAAAATATGTCTTGCGAGGGAATCTCACTAAGTGATACCCTCCGTTTGACATCATATTCTGCCCATATGTAGGGCTCATATATTAGAGAAAAACCCTAAAAGAGTTCGTTCCATTGCCCTCTTGGTGTTGAGATATTGTGATTCTAAGGTACTTAGATATCTTAATGCCATGGTCGCCCTCAAGGAAGTGCGAAAGACTAATGTTGGAATTTTGACCTGAAACTTTGTATACAATAAGGTCTTACTGAGAGTAGTTTACTGTAAAATTTTTAGACTTACACCTTGTTTCTATCCAGCAATACGACTATGAAAATCTAATGTCATTTGCTAGTGCTTCAAGAGCTGGTATATAACATTCCTTCTTAGATTCATGAGTATTCATCGAAACTGAAACTCTCATAGTAAACTATTCTCAGTAAGACCTTATTGTATACAAAGTTTCAGGTCAAAATTCCAACATTAGTCTTTCGCACTTCCTTGAGGGCGACCATGGCATTAAGATATCTAAGTACCTTAGAATCACAATATCTCAACACCAAGAGGGCAATGGAACGAACTCTTTTAGGGTTTTTCTCTAATATATGAGCCCTACATATGGGCAGAATATGATGTCAAACGGAGGGTATCACTTAGTGAGGTTCCCTCGTTAGTTAACCAAATATTTAATTCATATTATGTACTTGCATGCTTTCTCTATTCGATTTCATATACTAGCATAGACTTTTTTTGCATTATACTCAAGGGGGAACAAACTGATTTCCTGATTTCTTAATTCTTGATTTCTAATTTCATTTTCGTGATTTCCCATGATTTCTCATGATTTCTGTTAATTTCTCATGATTTCTCAGATTTCTCTTGATTTCTCTTGATTTCTCGTGATTTCTACTTGATTTCTAGTATGGAAATCAGTTTGTTCCCCCTTGAATACACTGCAGAAGATATGATTTATCTACATTATACTTATTTTATTTGTATACTCTAACATTAAATAAACCTACTATTATTATTACTATTATTCTTTTTCTAGATATATATCATGTACACATCATATATTCTATTAATTGATTCCTATAAGAACTGTCTTTCGAAGCAGATATATCGATCAAGTCAAACACGTACAACCGAAACTCATCTTTCAATCTTATTTTCCACGTGTTAACAATTCAATCTCAAAAATATGAACCAAAATACAAATTTATTGCAATCAATTACCCAGATAAACTAAAAAACAACCATACAGCATTGATTTCCTATATTAAAAACCATATTATCGTTATCTTCCGCTAATACTTCATGACTTTATCCAAAACTATCTTGAGGGTGTGGGTGGGTGTGGGTGTGGGTGTGGGTGTGGGTCTACGCACAGCAATAGTAGACACCCACACCCACACCCTCAAGATGATTTACAATAAACCGTAACAAACTCTAGAATACGGTAGCTAGGACACACCACTATGATCAGTAATTACTATTACGTATTAATATAGAATTTAGTATGTAACAATGTAATTCATACGATTTTGGTTTTGATCTTTTTTGATCATTACTATTTCAATTAAACAAAGCCATCTGATTATTTTCTTAGCAGAAGATAAATCTAGATCATAGTAGCTATTACACACTCACACCCACATCCACAACCACACCCTCAAGTGTAATCGCACCTCGAACATAGTACACTCATAGATTAGTGATTACATATGTTATCACCCCTCGAGAAGATAGTACAACCTGGTATATTCAGGGCATCATTATGGTCTGATCTAGGGACTAGGTCATAAGACCAAGTTTCGCAGAAAACTATTGATTACTTTATTAACAGTCAATTTTGCTCAGAACGAAACGATTTGTGTATGAAGTATATCCATTTGGGTATAGTTTTTGAACAAATAAATCGAAATCTGAAATTATCTCCGGAGTTAGAACCGTGTTTTGATTTCAGGTTTCGACGTAATCCAGGTTTAAATCAGACGAAACTGAGATCTTGGATTGGCATAAATCCAGCAATGGCCTACGACATACATTTATATAAGTGTTTTTTTTCGAAGTGATATTGTGTAATCAATATCCATTTGTATTCGTATTTGAATAAGATATCTCATGGATTATTGCAGCAGTAATAAAAAATGAGTTTGAAAAATTTCATGAAGTTTCACAGTTAAGTTATTGAAGAAAAGAATGCTGCATTCAATCGTAACAATGCAAATTCACAGAGATTCTGAGCATCATACAAATTTACTTCTTTATGAAATATTGCATAGTTATTTGCACGAAATAAATCAAATAATCTATGTGTGCGTTGGCTTGGTTCTTCATGTAGACCTTTTGCAAGATGAATTTCAAAAAGAATCTGACGAATATAAAGACTATCACTTTGATTTTTCATTCCAGATTTAAATAGTTCTTCGAATAAATCGAATTCGCTGCCTTCAATATCAACTTTCAAGATGTGAATTTCTCGTTTTTGATGACCAAGTTCATTTATAATCGTCTGTAAAGATTTAGAACTATCGGCTGTTTGACTACCTAGATTGGCTTGATGGGATATACAAATATTCGCTGGACACTGATATATGTCTCTATCAAACGTGTAAATTTCTGCATTAGGTAATTCGTTTTTAACAGCTCGTTCAAAACTAAAATCACCATTAGAACCTAAGGAATAGATCAACATAGTCGTATTAGTCATTTCTTGATATCGATGTATATCACAAATCCATTTACCACCATCACCTGTATGACCAATGCGTCGCGCAAACTCACAATGTAATGTTGGTTCCCAATTATTCTGAAAAAAAGACGGACGATCATTCGATATACGGTTAAGTTTATTCTGCATATGATCGATCATTTTTCGACGTTTCCAGTTAGAATCTTGATCACAAAACCAGCCATCAGATTCTAACATAGATAAGTTGCATTGATTGGGTTCAGCGTTTTGTAGCGTAGTATAATTGTTAAATAATCCTGTTTTCCTGTTGTATATAATAATACAATATACAGTGATACCAGGAATAATTGCGACAAACGTAATCACTGCTTTCCTAGTAAGTGTTGGCAACATTTTTTGTTGCTTTTGTTCTTGCACTCGACGATGATACTAAATTACCTTATATACGAAGGACTGCAAGCTACAAAGGAAGAAAACTAAATGTTGTAAAATATCCAAATCTCGACTCTCAATAACTATATGCCAATCTAATAGATAGTTTGTGATACTTTGTTTTCTCCAGTTCCCTCTACCATATGAAGGTGTTATGAAAAAAAACTCAAAAGATTTAGTATCCGTGTGTATCAGATCGAAGATTAAAGTTAAAAAAAAACAATTATTTACAAATTAGTCGAAGAATAATGCGACAGTAAAATGCTGTCCACAGCTGCGACCTACTATCCTTTAAAGGTTTGAATGAGTGACGGCATGGATGAGAAGACACGCGGGGGGGGGAGCGGTTGATATCAGCCAACAAAAAATAAGTGATGTGAAAACTAATTTCTGAGGATAACTAGATGTGGAAAACTTGAATATAAGTACCATTTGCTCAGACAACTCATAGGAAAGACACGAGGAAGGACGGGGTTGATAACGATCAATGGCGATCAAGTTTTGAAAAAAATAGATTTTTGGATATATTCCGGCGGCTGTAGGTAGTGTTATGTGAAAGAAATGGAAATGAGTGTGTTCGTTTCTCGCAGATCAAAGATCAAAATATTTTGGTTGAAAACTTGAATTTTATAACACTGATCGATCAAATCTCAATACCATTTTTCGTTGCCATCAGTCGAGTAAGCCGCCATGGTTGAGTGGTTACGTTGTTCGACACGTATCCACAA